ATGGGGAAATTAGGGACCGGACTGCTTTTTTTTTTTTTTTTTTTTTAAATCCAGTGATCTCATTGGGTTTTATATCGATGCTACGAATGCTTATGATACATTAACATTTGTCACAGATATAGTAGGATCAGCAGTTTTCCTCAAATATTGCCCTTTTCCCTGGCTGAATATAACCAGAAAATCACCTAATGGAATCCTGTAATGCTGTCTTTAATTGAAAAGGTAGGATCTTACCTTGGCAATTCTAAAAGGCATCCCTATTTGTCAGCATGGTAGCGCTTATTCATGAGCTAGTATAAAGTGGATTAAAATGATCATTTACTGAGTATATGTTCCCAGTGCAGTGTTAGATGCTGTAATTTAATAATTACATAAGTGAATGCATAATGACAACTAAAGGGAATACAGTGGTCTAGGAGCCCAAAACGAAGGAAGTGACATAGCCTGGTGGGTGGGGGAAGGCTCACCTCAGGAGTGGGTGCTTGAGTTAAGTAAGATTTGAAAGATAAATGTGTCTTAACTAGAGAGAGATAAAGGGTTTAATAGCATGTGCAAACTCCTGTAGGAATGAAGGAAGGTTGGCTGGAGGAAGTGTTGGGCTGGCACTCTTCTGTGCAGTGTGGAGCCTTGCACACTAAAAGAGTCTTTTGGTGTTTTTCCTTAGAGCAGTGGGAGGCCATTAATAGATTTGAAGCCAGGAAACATTACAGTTGGTTGATGGTTGTGTCCTCAAGTTGAAGCGCCGTTGGATGGGAATTTGCAGTGTGGAAAGCTATTCAGTGGGTTTTGAGGATGACTAACCAAGATGGTAGCTGGTGTGGTGAGAAATGGATGGATTTGACGTAGAATCCATAGGACTTGGGGATTGTGAGCTAGATGTCACTCTCACAGAAGCGCCATTTATCTTCATGAAGTTCATGAAGTTGCTCCTAGAATATTTGTTTTTTACAGTTTCATATTTTCAAAATTTGTGAAAAAAGAGGAGTAGTTTTGTTTCTTCAAGTTTGTTTTATATAAAATGGGAAATGGTGTCAGTTCGTGTTTCCAGGAACAGGCATGATACTCGTATCTCATTATTGTGCTAGACATTCACGGTTAATGAACAGACTTTGAAATTTTAAAAAATGAGATGATAGAATATGAGCAGAATGCACTTTTGTAGTGTTTTGATTATGGAAGATGAGTTGCTGTGAGTCGAATCAAAATTTGTTGCACTAAGTCCTAGGAATGAGACATGGGAACTCAGAAAACCAAAAATACCCAAAGGCAAATACTTAAGGAGGATTTTAGTTGTTATGGGCTCGGGCGGGAAAAGTGATGGTCACAGTGTGCATTTCGGCAATTGGGTACACCAATGGCACATGCAGCTAAAAGGTAAAGGTCAGTGTTGAGAGTTAGGAGCCTGGACCTCAGGACCAGGTAGCAAAGACTAATTCCGAAGCCTATGACACAAGAGACACCCTTTCACTATAGCCTTATTGTTCTGTTACCTTAGCAGTATTAACTTTCTAGATCCCATCAGTATTAGGCTGTGCTTGGTTTGTTCTTGGAAAAGAAAATGGAGTGTGTGTGTGTGTGTGTGTGTGTGCGCGCGCGTGTGCGTACCTATATCCTTACGCACACATGTGTATGTCGATAAAAACCAGATTTACTGCACATGGGTTATAATAAATAAAAAAGCTACTTATTGAGACTTCTCAAATGCATAGTCAGTAGGCTCTCAAACCACAGTGGTTCTGGAGAAAAATTATGCTTTGAGATGAATGGTGGGTAAATTAAAGGGAACTGGCAGGTATTTATGAATTGGTCTTTGGTCCATCCATGCTCAGTATATTTTACTTTCTGCCAGAAAGGAACCCTGTGCTTACTGGAATATAAAATGAAAACAGCTGCCAGGTAAACTGGAAAAAGCCTCAAAAGTCAGGCTAGGTTCTGTCATTCAAAGTGGAACCGTGATCTAACGTTGTAGCAATAGCCTCTCTCCTTGGTAGGGTGGCCGAACTCTTTTGAACTTAAGGTTGCTTCGTGGCCAGGCACTCCATCACAGTGTTAAGGCACTAGGTGGAAGGGAGACTTTGCATGAGTGAGTTAGTTTTATACACTTAGTAGGGTAGTTAATATATTATTTAAGTTGGTTCCTTTCCCTGATATTTTGGTATGGACCACATATTAATGAGCACCTTCACATGTACTCTCATTTCTGCTTCTGTCCAAAGTATATGTACTTGTTTTAATATTCATCTGTTATTGATTGCTTTCAAGCTCTTCTAAGAGACTACTCACATGTCTCCTGGGATTTATATGCTTTCTGGGACCCGTTTGGGATCCTAATTCCTCGGATCCACTAGTTAGAAATATAGGTTCAGCCTCACCCAAGACTGATAGAACCGGAATCTGCATTTCAGCAAGACTCACAGGTGCTAAGATGTGCATTAAAGATTGAGAGGTACTTTTTTAGATAATGATTGTAGTAAAAAACCAGTTGAGCCTCTAGAGGCAACATGGGGCTGAGGACTTTTAGATTCAGATCAGTTAGGTTTAATGATCAGTTCCTAGAACTAGGTATGATCAGCCCAATGTCCGCAGCAAGTTATTTTGAACCTCATTGTCTTCATCTGTGTGTTTGTGGATAATCTTTATATAATGAGATGTGGAGAATAAGTAAGTTAATGCCAGGGCTGACATAGACTGTTCTTTTTGGTACATATGGTGTGCCTTCTTTTCTTGTGTGGCTTACTGAATAGCACTATTATTCTCACCTATACCTTTCTATTTTCTTATTCTCATTCCCAAAGTGTCTTTAATGAGTGCATCAAAGTAATTATTTACTAAATGGTACTTAGATAGACTCCGACTTCCAAAGGAGCCCATTTTACCCAAGAGTGCAGTTTGCATGCTGAAGTTAGTTCCAGCGGGTGTGAGTGGGACCAGATAGCAAAAGGCTATGGGGATTTGGTAAGGCACTGAGCACATCAGCACAATTCAGGTCTTTGTTATGACACTGCCTCTTTGGAAAACACAATATATCTTTGATTTTGCAGATTATATAACCAACAGAAACACTTCATTATTTTTATTATAGCCATGCTGAGCATGAATTAATATTCAGATGTACTCATTATATGAAAATAATGCTATTTTTTTTAGCAGATGACTTTTAAGTTGTAACAATTGAATGTTCACTGGAAATTAATGGGCACCTGGAGGGATAGTCGGGAGGAAATTATTAAGAGATTGGACTTTGCCTGTGACTAGAGCTGTAGGCCAGTCATTAGATATTGCTTCACCATATAGGAAATAAAGCAAATGCATAGGATTATGAAGGCTTTAAATGCAAATTAGAGTTGTACTTTTCCAATTGATACAGCAGATTCTTTGGGTTAACCCAAACGGCTTGTCTTCTGCTTTTGAATTTTATCACAGCTCATCACCCCCCACTCTGCCATTTTTCCCGGGTGAGGGTCTTCTGGGATATACTTGTTTATTCCTTTTCTCGGACTCTAATTAAAAGGGTCAGTGAGTATATCCTTTTACTACTCTGTTAAGTGTCTCGTTGCCTTGTGTTTGAAGCGTCAAAATGTAAGTGGTTAGACTTGTTAGGTATTTGCTACCTAGAACTTGTTAAGGTGAGATATTTTGTTTAAAAATGACAGTGGTATCAGGCACCTGGGTGGCACAGTTGGTTAAGCGTCCAACCCTTGATTTCAGCTCAGGTCATGATCTTACGGTTTGTGAGATCAAGCCCCGCATCAGGCTCTGTACCGACAGTGCAGAACTTGCTTGGAATTGTCTCTCTCTCTCTCTCCCTCCCTCCCTCCCTCCCTCGCCCTCTCTCTCCCCCCTCCTCTTCCTCCTCCTCCTCTACCCCACTCCCCTACTCGAGATCTCTCTCTGTCTCAAAATAAATAATCTTACAAAAATGACGATGGTATCTCCCATTTATTGTCTATTTAGTGCCTTTTGCAGGTCAGTCATGGTGTGACTCCATTACCTTATCATCTTAGAGATGCAATACTTTGTCTAGGATCTTCTAACGTGTGCATGGCAGAGCTGAGATGGGAATCCAGCCATGGCTAATTCTCAGGCCTGTGTTTCTTGCAGTCCTCATGTTGCCTACACGGAGTCGTCCCATTTACCGTCTTCCCCCTTATATAACTTGTCCTGTAAGGCTGCTTAGTTAATTGGAAGCCAGTGTTGGGTTTCACAGGACTGAACTAGCAAATCCTCTCTCTGCCCATTTCTAAGCAACCAAGGGTCCTTTCAAACGTGGACAAGTAGCCGGTGTGTGGATGAACTGGGGTGACTTTCTGGGTTGGTCCGTTCTTGACCTGTTTCCCTCTGCTGGTTTTGGAGCGATGTGTGTGCCTGCTGTTGGAACCCATGTCGTTCTTGATGATTCGTGATGTCCTAGGCATGTGTCAGGAAATTTCTTTGTAATTTGGATGATTAAAGCGGTGTGTAAGAGTGCTAACGTGGAAATTTTGTATTTTACCTTTCGTCATGTGGGTTGCCTCTCGGGATCAGCAATGAGAGTGAGAGAACTGTTGGCTGAGTTGAGTGGCTGCACCCTCTTTCTCCTGCCACCCCGTTACCTTTTTTACAAGTAGACATTCTCTAGGGATTGACTCTGTGGGTCTTTTTGGCGAGTTGTTGTTCCCTTTGTCTCTGCTTTTTTTTTTTAAATTTTTTTTCAACGTTTATTTATTTTTGGGACAGAGAGAGACAGAGCATGAACGGGGGAGGGGCAGAGAGAGAGGGAGACACAGAATCGGAAACAGGCTCCAGGCTCTGAGCGGTCAGCACAGAGCCCGACGCGGGGCTCGAACTCATGGACCGCAAGATCGTGACCTGGCTGAAGTCGGACGCTTAACCGACTGCGCCACCCAGGCGCCCCTGTCTCTGCTTTTTAATATGCACTAAAGTAATAGTGTCCAAGATCAGAGTTAGACCGCCTCGTCATGTCAGATCTCTAACTTTTTCTCCTTTTTCTCTTTTTGCAGGATGATGAAGTGGTCCTACAGTGCACCGCGACCATCCACAAAGAACAACAGAAACTGTGCTTGGCAGCAGAAGGGTTTGGCAACAGACTTTGCTTCCTGGAGTCTACTTCGAATTCCAAGGTGGGATAAAACCCTGGGAGGCTGTTCAGATATTGGGGTTTTACTCATGGCAGTCAAGTTATTGACGGGCCCTCTGTAATTGCCTGTGGAGCAGAATAAACGAGAGGGGGTGTGGAAGATGTTTTGACTCTTCACGAAGCAAGTTTCTAGCTGGACCCCCACTCTTTGTAAGGAAGTCAGATAGGATTGTTGGCAAGAATCAGGCAAAGCCCTTGCCCCCGTCGTGGTGTTTATATCCTTGCGGACAAGTAAACAAGTAAATAAGTGGTGTGATTTCAGAACGAAGCGCTATGGAGAAAGCGGAGTGATAAGAGTAGAGATTAATGGGGCAGGGACTCGCCCTTTCACAAAGGGTGTTTGGGGAAGGCTTGCTGAGGCAGTGACATTTGAGCAGTTTGGAGTGAAGTGAGAGAGTAAGCAGTACTAAGTACTCTGAAACATTCCAGAAAGAGGAACCAGGTGATGCAGGGGCCCCTGGTTAGGAAGAGGAGCTGTCACTGGGGCCCGGTCTTGGAAGGCCTTCCAGGCCACAGCCAGGAGCTGAGGTTTCTCCCCGGGATGAAGGGAGGCCACTGGATCAGGTGAGTGATGCGGTCTGATGTAGACATTGCCAAGATCATCCTGGCTCTCGTGGGGTTTGGAGGGTGTTGAGAGAGCAAGCATGGAAGCAGGGAGATGGTTGGAAGGTGTCTGTGGAAGTCTGGACGCGAGCTGCTGGGTCTTCGGACCACAGCCATGGTGGGGGATCTGGAGGGGGAGATTGAGAACTTGCTTTCGGGACTCGCACCATGTGCTGAAAGATTAGATTGTGTCGAATGAGGGAAAGAGGAAATGAAGATGTCTCGTGGGTGGGAAGTCAACCAGAAATTGGTCAGTGTAGTCGTTTTTTGCGTAGTACTTCCTGACGTCCAGAACCCTTTGACGGGCAGTCTTACTCCGTTGTTGTGGGAAGAGTGTGCATGGCTGCTGCTGTCAAATTCACTGCACAGGGGAGGATTTGGAAAGCTAACAGAGGCCAGGTCCCATGCCTAAGATGCTCGCCGGGCCTTGACACAACATTGTCAGGAACAATTCTTCTGTGCTTTGACCTTGGCCATTTGACTTCAAATGCTTCATTCTTTCCTTTATACCACAGCACTTCTCTGGTGAAATAATTATAGTTCTGTGAAATAATACTGAGCACTGTGTACACATGATTCATTTATAATAATAATAATAAATTACAATTATTATAATATAATTAAACTATAATTGACTTATAATAATTCAATGTTAGTAACTTCACTACCATTTTAATAGTCGGTGGCAAAACGTGATCATGATGCATTTTATAGCTCTCCATAGATTTATTTACTTATTTTTAAATGTTTATTTATTTATTTTTGAGAAAGAGAGAGTGAGCAGGGGAGGGGCGGAGAGAGAGGGAGACAGAATCCCAAGCAGGCTTCATGCTGTCAACACAGAACTGGATGCGGGGCTTGAACTCATGAACCATGACACCATGACCTGAGCTGAAACCAAGAGTTGGATGCTTAACCGACTGAGCCACCCAGGTGCCCCTGTTACTTAGATCTGTTTTAATTTTACAAGTGTTTATTCAGCATTCTCTTTGTATTAATGACTGTGACACTTGTCAGTCGTGAAAAATGTTCTTCTTAAAAAGAAAATATTAAGCATTTTAACATTTAGGATGTTCCCTGTGGTTTCTGCTATTTTGTAGTGGCTGGAACCAGGCACACCATTTAGTTAGCCGGTTCTTGATTTTTCCCTTGTGTGGAACACAGTACTGGCAATTGTTGTCTTGTTCCTTTAACGTAAGAGCTGGTTTCCAGCACTAAAAATGAATGCTTCCTACTCGGAAGTGGGCATCTCATGTGGCAGTCAGGGCACTAATCCATTTAAACTGGTTACTTCCTCGGAGGCATGCTTAACTATCTCATTGTTAACTGATGACCTAGTGAACTGACCGCCTGAACCTTTTTTTGTTGTCATTTTGTTTTATTCTTCGCTCGCTCGTGTATGTGAAAATTTGCCTGAAGGATGAGATACTGAGGTGGTTCATCAAGCATAGAATGAAGTAGCAATTGAAGTCCAATAAACCAATTTGAACCTTTTCCTTTAACTTCTTTTTGTTAAATCTTTCTTAATGTTTATTTATTTTTGACAGAGAGAGAGAGAGAGAGAGAGAGAGAGAGAGAGAGAGAGAAACAGAATGTAAGCAGGGGAGGGGCAGAGAGAGGGAGACACAGAATCTGAAGCAGGCTCAGGCTCTGAGCTGTCAGCACGGAGCCTGATGCGGGGCTCAAACTTACACGCGGTGAGATCATGATCTGAACCAAAGTCAGATACTAAGCCAACTGAGCCACCCAGGCGCCCCTTAAGTTCTTACAACATATGTACAGTCTTACTTGAAAACCTGCTACAATGTCAGGTTTTTGTTTTGTTTTTTTTCCCCATGTTTCCATTTGCCTTTGTTCTCGTATGTCCTTCCTGTACTTTTATGCCTGCTGAAATCCTGCTTGTCTTTCAAGAGCTATTTCAAATAGTCCTTATTCTGGGCTGCTTTTTCCCAAGTTCCTGAATTCTCTTCTCTGTGCTTCTTAAGTGCTTTGTTTATACTTCTGTTTTGTTGCCCACTGGGATTCATTCTGTATAGTATCTGCACCACTTTCTCTCCCTGACTATATCCATATGTATGTATGCTCCCAGACACATAGACCAGCTTCTGAATTCCCTGAGGACCAGAGCGTATTGATTTATTTTCTTAACTCTTACTGCTCGGTAACGAGCACAGTGCCTTGACCTAGTAAGTGATCCACAAAACTTAGTGGACCATTCAGTTTGAGGGGAGACTGCTGATCTTAGGCCAATTATATTTTTTATAGACTTTTAACTTTCAGTAATAACGGAGTCAAAGCTCTGGATCTCCGTTTGTGTTTAAAGTATGTAAGCCTGGGTACAGATGTGGTTTGTGCAGATGTATCTGGTTTTGACTTTCATTGGTGGAAAATGGGAGATGGTCCTTTTTCCCCCTCTCGAGTTTGTTGTCTCCTCTATTGATTATAAAAGTGGAGAGAACAAAGTTATCATTGGCAGCAAGCAAGGAGTCAGTCACTGTAAATTATATATGCGTTCCTGGAAATGATCCCAGAAATGTCTTAAGCTGCAGAATCTTTTAATCAAAGACAGGGCTCTCTTTTCCAGAAGACTGTTTCATGCTGCTAGGATATCTCTCCATGCTGATTTCTGCCTGAAAGAGAATGGCTCGGAACTGCAGCATAGGTTTTCCTGAAGACCATGCAAACGTCAGATCTGATGCTACCTCAGTTTAGTCATTCCTAAATCAGAATCACGGATATTTACTGCACATTCTTTATATGAATGACTTTTCATTTTCTTTGTTTTACGATTGAGAAGTCAGGCTTTTGCTTTTAGGAACCCAGTCACTTTGAGACAGACCCACCTGCTCTCATTCAGTTTGAGGGGAAATGAGAAGCTCTCAGAGAGGCAGAGGGTTTCATCTCTGCGAGTCTTTACGTAAGAGTAGGCAGAGCTCGGAAGAGAGCAGAACTTCACGTACACACGCAACACAGTGACGCGTTACTAGGTGACACGTTATCCCCCACGTATGTGTTGGGACATGAATGACAGGAAGTGGAGGAAAGACAGCACCATTTCTGTCGTGTCCAAAAATCAGTTACAAGTACTCATGGAGAGCATAGTGGGCCCGTGTGGAATCAGCAGCTGAAACCAAGAGGGAGCAAAGGAGATATGGTAAGAACGGGTATTTCTGGAGCAATCTTGGCCCATGACTTTGGAAGCTAATCTAGTAAAACCCCTTCCAGATAGGCCTTATGTTTTTTTTAATAAATATTTTTTTACTGTTTATTTATTTTTGAGAGACAGGGAAAGACAAGGCACAAGCAGGGAGAGGTAGAAAGAGAGGGAGACCCGGAATCCAAAGCAGGTTCCAGGCTCCAAGCTGTTAGCACAGAGCCCGATGCGGGGCTTGAACTCACGGACTGTGAGTTCATGACCTGAGCCGAAGTCGGATGCTTAACCGACTGAGCACCCGGGCGCCCTCAGACAAGCCTTACTTTGAGAATCCGCTTTTGAGAATCAAATATGGATTGAGCAGGGTGATAGGGGCAAAGAACAGACCGGGATCAGGTAAAAGGGAGGGAGGGAAACAGAGCCACCAGATCTCAGAAAAGAAAGGCTGTGTTTTAAATACCGGGTGAAACCAGAAGAACAAGTTGCCTAGAGCCGTGCCGCTAGAGAAGCTGACCCATTCTCCTTTTGTCCAGATAAGCTCCTTCCGGCCTTATCTGTTTTTCTGAAATGTTTTTGTTACCTGTAGACATAATTCTGCTCCTGGTTGGTGTCTCTCTTTTTATTATATATTTATAAACATATAAAAATATTTCTATATGTTATTTATTTCATATATGCTCTTTTATAGAATTATTTTTATATTTAGTATAGAAAGATATGATACGTTGATATATACTATATTCATAGATTTAAATATATATTTACATATAAATTATTTTATATATAAATTGTATATAAATTACATCATATATACATATACGCATAAATGTATAGTGCACATATATATTATATGTGTAATTATACCATTTATGTCATGTACATAAAATTATGCTACATGTAAAACAGTTATATATACACATAATTATGTAAGTTACATGTAATTTATGTATTTATATAAAGATATATGTTATATATATGTATATACATATACATATAACTATATATAAAACCATATGTGTGTATATATACATATATAATTATGTGTAATTTATAATAATGGGTGGAGTAATCTAGTTTATATTTATTTACATAGTTATTTGAAGTTACCTTTTATATATTATATATATATATACAGGTATATATGCAGATATATCTATATATGCTTTTATATGTTAAAGAGACAGAATAAAGAGCAGAATAATTTTAAGTCAGGTCCACCAGACTTA